TATAGACAAGAATAGCTTCTATACAAGCTAGCTCATTAAATAGCATAATTATTAAATAAGTCTACTGAGATTTTTGTTCTAACTTTTCCTTAGTCAAGAACGGATTTTGTGCAAGCTAGCTCAACAAATAGTATATTAATCATGAAACTTTAATGAAAAAATATAAAAGTTTAATGAAAATTTAGCTAATGCTCATTAAATATTGCGTCTAAAATTCTGGCTAAAATTAAGGTATAGTGCTAGCCAAAATGATTTTTTTATTACCTTCTCGTATTTTTGATCGAAGCCTATTAATACTGAATAATATAATAACCTCTAATATCTAACGGGCATCGTCCACAAGCTGAAGAAGTTGGCTTCCCACAATCAGAGCATGGAACCCGTTTTTTTGATTTCCAATGAAATTAGCAACCTTCAGGCCGAATGCAAGCTCTCCCACAAGCCTTTCCGGTATTGCAGAGATATGGGCAGGAATATTCACCGATCATCCTATTTTTTATCACTAAATTTCGAAAGATTAATTAATAATTAGTTAATACTTCAGTTTTGGGAAGGATAGCTAAAGCCATTTTGGCAAGTCTAAAAATATTGCCTTCGGTGGAAACTCTATAATCAGAAAGTAAAAAGAATAGAAAATAATTAATTAAAGAAAAAATTTTATAAACAAGTAAAAGCGCGACGGTTAGAGCAAACACTATGGTTAAAAAAACAAGAAGTGATAAGAAAGTTAGAATCTGTAAACGTTGTGGTCATGAATGTTCAACACCCCAAAAACTTCGTGAGCATCTTAAGCGAAAAAATCTATGCAAACCATTGCAAGAAGCTAACCAACAACTCATTGAAGAGGATATTTAAAAACCTGTTTAAGTGGCTATCCAAAAACCTGTTCAAAAGAATGGAGACTATATTAGCCAGGAAGAGGCAGACAAATAGGTTAACCCAAATGCCAGAAAACCTGGTGAACATTTTAGAACATGGGGAACACAACTACAAAAAAGATGGAAAAAACTTGGTCTAGATGAATGTCTTAAAACAGAAAACTTGAATGACTGTATGACTCTCTGTCATGATCTTGAACAATACGATCCAGAAGTAGTTAGACCACCAACAAAAGAGGAATTAAAAGAAGAACATGAAAAAAGAAAATTAGAAGAGATTAAGAAGAGACAAGAAAGACCAAAAAAAGACCTAGAGTTTAGAGAGCAAGAAGAGTTGGGAATGGCAGTTAAAAGAAGAGCTATAGCTGTACATCGTGCA